GGGGGGGGGGGGGGGGGTGTCTCCAACCTTTGCAATTTTAAGACTTTGGGAACAAGTCCACATGGCTGGTTGGGGAATTATGGTAGTCGAAGTCCCCAAGTCTTAAAGTTGCCGAGGTTGCACTCCACTGTGCTATATACTATTTGACGTTTCTCGACCTTTTGGGCACATTGAGATCTGAGTAGAATTGAACCTCTTATCCTTGCCACCGCGAATCCACGGTGCTTCCAAAAGTCTACAGTACAGGCAGTGACTTGCTCCGTTTCCTCACCCTACAATCTTGGTTTACTGGGGAAGATTTGCCACAGAAGAGGTTCAATTCTACTCAGATCTCAATGTGCCCAAAAGGTCGAGAAACGTCAAATAGTATATAGCACAGTGGAGTGCAACCTCGGCAACTTTAAGACTTGGGGACTTCGACTACCATAATTCCCCAACCAGCCATGTGGACTTGTTCCCAAAGTCTTAAAATTGCAAAGGTTGGAGACCCCCCTGGTATGTGGCATGCGTCTTCAGGCTCTAATAACCCATTCCGATCATCTATGAAATGTCTGCGGGACTGTTCAATAACGGTGCAGTTGGGCGCGGACAGGGCGTCGCCTTCACCTTCCACGAAGCCGATCTACCTCGCAGTCATAGAAGGCAGGAGCTGGGACCCACGCCCCTTGGCCGCCCAGTCTCCTCCAGTTCCTTTGGCGGCTTTTTCTGGAAGTGGGCCAAGCGCCGAGCAAATCCGAGAAAGAAAAAGTTTGCAGAGCTCAAGAGTTTGGATTGGCCGCGCCTTCCAAGCTCAGCGCACAAGGCGCCAAGTGGGAGAGGTGGGTCCGGCTGGGCCCGCCCCTGCTCCTCTTGGCTATAAAAGCCAGAGGTAGGCTGTGCGTTTCAACTTCTTTGCCCCCACTTTTGTCTTTGCTGCTCCTCGTCTTCGCAGGTACCATGAGTTTCTCCAAGTCCACCTTCTACTCCACCTCCCAGAGGCCATTCAAGTTTGGCACCGGGAGCACCGCGGCCAGCGTCTACGCTGGAGCCGGTGGCTCCGGCTCGAGAATTTCTGTTTCCAGAGTCTCTGGCCTGGGCTCAGGCTACGGTGGTGGCTATGGAGGAAGCTCAGGCTACGGAGGAAGCTCAAGTTACGGAGGGGGCTACGGGGGGATGAGCAGCAGCATCCACCTCTCCGGTTCTGGGGTGGTCCAGAACGAGAAGGAAACCATGCAAGACCTGAATGACCGTCTGGCCAGTTACCTGGAGAAGGTGCGCAGCCTGGAAGCCGATAACCGGCAGCTGGAGATCCAGATCCGCGAGTACATGGAGAAGAAAGGGCCCAGCACCCGAGACTGGGGTCGTAATTTTGAGATCATCGAGGATTTGAAGAACCAGGTGAGAAAACCTCTTGGGGAGACACCGAGTAATGGGCACCTTAACTCTAAGTATGATGATGTCAGAGCCCCCCCTCCAAATAGAAAGTGGAACGGTTTCTGAAATTGGGAATGTTGTCTTTGCCCACTTTCAAGCAGTAGTTCTGACTTGGGACACCTTTTGTCCTTTTGCCCCTTTTAAGTATGCACATTTTGCTCGTATTATTTTTATCAAGAGTGACACAATAAGGGAAGCAAAGGTAAAGGGGGTGTGGATAAGATATCCAACATGAAAGTGGTTCTGGCTCCCTGAAAAATTCTGCCAATAAAACCTTTTTCCTTCCTAATTGCCTTCACTGATAAGCAGTTACTGGAGTTCAACAGCTTGTCTTCACAGGTTAATGGTTTACTAGAAGAAACGAATGCAGCTGCACTATCTGTGTGCTAACAACCCATTGTAAAAGGAACCTCCCATGCTTGCCTTCTGAAGTTTGAATGGAGCCAAAAGTTCAGACCTGTGTAGAATTTACCTGCATACCTGAGGAGTGGTGGAGCTTTTCTTGAAGAAATGCAGCCCGTGTATAGATTGTGGGGTGGGTGAGAGGGAAACTATATACCAGATATTGGTTTTCTTCCATACCATAAAAGGTGGCAATAAGTGTGAAGTTCCAACAAATTTGGTTTATTTCATTGTGTTTTGCTGTTGCAAAGAAATATTCAATGTACTTTATATTGGGAAATGTGGAATATAACAGCAGCATTTTGCAACAAGGAGCCTACTATACAATTAACATCTCTAGAACATTTCAGAGGTATCTATTTTGCTGCTCTTGTGAAAAAAGCTTTCACTTTTCCATCTCTTATCTTGGATTTTATATTCTTCTGCCATGTTTTTAAATTTTATATTAAATTTATTGGCCACTCATCTTACTGCAGGGTAACTTTTGTGATACACCTCTTTGGGTTGAAGGTCTAAGGAATAGAACCAGTTGCCTTGATGTACCCACCTATTTACAGTTCCACAATGCCTCTAATATAAAACTTCTCTAGAGCATTATAGAGGAATGAAAAAGTGTGGCTCTTATTTTCAGAAAGTCAAAGAACAAGCACCAGGCCATTTAAACCCTGGGAATAGATCTTGAACAGGTAAAGTGAGTTCCCTGCCTCCAAGTAAAGAGTAGAGTTAAAATTCCTGCAGCTTAATGCCCAGCAGGAAAGAATAGGCCAACTTGGGGAGAAATAGACAAAATTTCTCATCCAGCCATAACAATGGGAGAGAACAGCTAACTCCAATTTTGTGGTTTTGAGATTTGCAGTGTAAAATACCTCTGAAGAGCACCAGGTTGGGAAGGGCTGGGTTACAGTGGTTTTGAAAAAGAGGAACTTCGGTTTACAGGAATGTTCCAAATGGTGGTTTCCTAACAGAATTCAAAAGACCTTTGTTAAGACTGAGTAGATTAAGGGATTTTTTTTTCTTCTGAATCATTTTTAAGTATGTGTAAAATCATTTAGCAAACAAAGGTAATAAAGATAACGGCAAAAGCTTCAGCACCTGTTGGCAAAAGCTTCAGCACCTGTTCAGGTCAAATATATGGCATGGAATGCAAGAGATCTGGTTAGAGGGTGTGGTGCAGCTGCAGAAAGTAGAATGAAAATGTCTTGGGGGGGGGAAAGATGTTTCTTTTTTTTTTCTCCTTCTGGGAAGCGGTTTCAGAAACGCTTCCAATTCCTACCTACCCTATTTTTTTAAAAAGCACCTGACACCATATCAAAGCCAGGCATAGACATTTTGTGCATGGGGGCCTTTTTATGAGTTAAGTCCATTCTATAACACCTGGCAGATCTGTTACCAGGAGAGAGCAGAGTTAAGCTCTTGCTAGGTTATATACCTCAAGGTACGGTTGCCTGGAATATACCCAATTCTCCAGAGAACCCTTACTTTATCTGCTAGAAACAATAGGTTTCTTAAAAACCATGGCTGGTGGCTTTTAAACGGCTTTTGCCATGAATATATGGGAAAGAGGACTATTGCCGCAACCTTTTTTTTTTTTTAGCCGATTCCACCTCTTGTACCTTCAAAGATTGCATGAAATATGGGCCATCAATTCATTAGAAGTTATGGAAGGATCATGACTCTGCTAGGCCTACTGGATCAGATCAAAGCCTGGCTGTGACCTTTGTAACTAGTTTTCTCTTCCCATTCTGGCCAGCCAGCCAGATACCGTAG